TATTCCTCATTTGAGTGAGATTATGTGGTATTTGTCTTTCTGTGGTTTTTGGGGGGTGGTGGTGGTGGGGCTTGAACCCAGGGCCTTGTGCATGTGAGGCAAGAACTCTACCAACTGAGATATATCTATCCCTAGCCCTACAATTTCATTTTTAAATGGCTGAATAACATTCCATTGTGTATATGTATCTGCATTCTTGCTATTTGTCCCTTTTTATAAATAGTTTCTCCAGCTGTATTGTTTGCCTTTTCAGAGGTACATGTTTGAATATCTCTTTACATATCTGCCCAGTATGCAACTCTACTCAATAAACAATAAGGGATTACCTTTTCATCTCAGCCATTATCAATAACTGTCATTTTTTCTGGAATCAAAGCATTCAAAAATTCTTGAAGATACCTTTCTTTTTACCTTTTCTTTCTTAAGCAATAGCCTTGGGCTGAGGATGTAACTCAAGGGTAGCACACTTGCCTAACCCTGAGTCCCATCCTCTGTACCAAAAAAAGAAAAGAAAATTTCTTAAGCAATAGCCTCATTGCTAGAAGCTTAGGATTTTTCAGTTTCCAGGCTTCTGCCCATCACTGTACATGTTCTTATTTGCATTGGGCTCTGAATGAGTAAACACTTCACATTTGTTTAACCATATAGTTTAAGAAGCTTTCCTACTTTGAAATTCACTGATGAAGGAAATAGAGGGATGTTATTTCCATGTGGCAAACAAAGAGACTGAGGCACAGAGCCATTAATCAGATGCTGACTTCTAGGCTGGGGCTCTTTTTACTTCTTAAGTGGCTTCTCTGGTTTGCTTTTTCTGCTATTCTTCGCTCACCAACTAGCAAGCCTTTACAGGAGTCTTCATGTGAAGAAAAAGAGGAAGAATTTTGTAGTGGATGACGGTTGTACCCTCTTTTTCATCAGTAATCCCCCTGCAGTAGCTATCAGGTATTTCCTTTAGAGTGGCTTTTTTTTTTTTTTTTTCGGGGGGTGGTGGTGGCGTGTAATAGGGATTGAACCCAGGGGCACTTTTAGCACTGAGTTATATCTCTAGCCCTTTTTATATTTTCTTCCTTTTTTTTTTTTTTTTATGGTGCTGGGGGCTTTGTACATACAAGGCAAACACCCTACCAACTAAGTTATATCCCCAGCCCTATATTTCCATTTTGAGACAATGTTTTACTAACTTGCCCAGGGTAGCCTTGAACTTGGAACCCTCCTACCTCAGCCTTCAAGTAGCTGGGATCAAAGGCCAAACAGTACCATGCCTGGCTAGGGTAGGATTTTTTTTTTGGTGGTGGTGGTGGGGGTACTGGAGATTGAACTCAGGGGCATTGGACCACTGAGTCACATCCTCAGACCTATTTTGTGTTTCCCAGCCCTATTTTGTGTTTTATTTAGAGACAGGGTCTCACTGAGTTGTTTAGTACCTCGCTTTTGCTGAGACTGGCTTTGAACTCTCCATCCTTCTGCCTCAGCCTCCAGAGCTGCTGGGATTACAGGTGTATGCCATCTGGACACAATACCTTTATTTTATTTACTTATTTTTATGTGGTGCTGAGGATTGAACCAGGGCCTCTCACATGCTAGGCCACAACCCCAGCCCAAGGGTAGGATATTTTAATAACCCCAGGCTCATTCTCACTTCAGACCTTTCATTTGAGTAGGGCCATTTTCCACTGAAATGTCTTCTCTTTTCCTCTACATGAACCTAAATGCTACCCCAGTCTGTAGACATCTTCTATTTCACAGTCCTACTGGACCCCAATCCTCCCTACCCAGACTCTTACTGAACTGAAGCAATGCTGATCAAGAGTCTACTCTGAGCCAGTCATTGTTTTTAGTTGTTCCTCACTGCCTTAGCTCATTTAAACATAGGAAAACTGGGAAGCCGTTTTGTTTTTTTTTTTTAATGATGAATTTTATGGTTTCTGAATTATATCTCAATTATAAAAATTTTAAGTGAGTACTTATGGAGGAAAGTTAACATTTCCACTTAAACATTTTCCTATTATAGTTACATTCCATTCCTAGACACGCCATCAAGTGGCATCAGCTATAAGATCACACTTAAGTGATAATATCCTGCCCCATAGCTCAGATCTCACTATAGTTTTTTTGTTTCTTGCATTGTATCTTTCAGGAAAATTACTAGTAATAGTTGGGAGGCAGGTTAGCCCCATTTTAAAGTTGATACATCCAGCATCTGACTCTCCAGGCTTTGTGCTCTTTCCCCTATAACTCAAGGTGTTGTTTTCTCTTTAGCACATTTTTTTTACACTGTACATTTCTTGACAACCTCCACAAATTTTATGAAAATTCTAGCATACATGATTTGATTTTTCTGCACTTTTTGGAAGAACTGCAAGAATTTTATTTCCAGAGTAAGGTAAATCTTTTGTTATAGTTTGTGGAAGGTTGAACATTGAAAACTATCCACATCAGCTATACTGGATAGTTTAGATAGAGGTTATCAAAACCTTATTTCATTATAAACATTCTACGTTATTGGATCTCCACAAGTATGAGATAATGCTATGTAATAATGGTAACAATAATAACAATGACAATCAGATTTTAAAAAAAGAAAATGTCTGAATGTTTGGAGTTGGAGGCTAAAAACATACAGGTTTCATAACAAAGCAAGATATATTTATATTCATTTACTTGAAACTGTAGAGGAGGAATATCTTGCAACTTCCAGAGACAAAGAGTTAGTAAGGGAATTTGATTGCATAGTGTCTGTTACCAGTAATAAAAGCATGAAAATAAAAACAATAAATAAAAACAATTGACATCCTCTTTGGTGTTTTATTCAGTGAATATAAAATTTTATTTGAAATTTCATATCAATGGATGATCCTAAATTTGCTTTTCTCCATGAAGGTATGAGATATTTCACCTTGAAATACTAGTATTGTTAAATATCCTTAACTTGCATGCACCATCTGATAGAGGACCAGGACTTGAGGTCACTCCCTCACCTTTGCCCTTTCTCAGCAACAAATAGCCAGACTAGATGATGCCCAACCACTTTAAAAGAGTTTAAGGACACAAGTCCTTAAGGGGTGGGGGAGGGTTAAGGTGGGGGATCTTAGGTAGCTAGTCAGCCAGGAAAGGGAGCAGGGAAAAGACAACAAAGGGCAACTGAAAATCACAGAGAGCCTTATCTGACAGATAAGCACGTGGAAGATGGGGGTTTGGAATGTTAATTAAATTTCCTCAAAGGGAAAAAAAAATTGTTTCAAGATCAGGTCACCTTATCAGGTGGCCTCAACTATAACCCAAATTATCACAACCTCCAATCACTGTGGCAACTAAAACCGGAAGACCTGCACAACAAGAGCTTGCTGAAGGCTATTCAAAGGTAATAAACAGATTAAGGGAGCAGTAAATTGAGGCAAAAAGAGGGGAACTCAATTTCACCAGTTCTGCAAGCATCTTGAATTCTTGCATCCTCTTTTGGAGGCAACCCATGCAGTTTCCATTTCACCATTCAAAAGTCAGGAAGCAGACTTGGGCAGGACTCACTGAAACTTCCCTGAGAACCCCAATAAAACTGGGGCGGGCAGGAGGGCTGCACCATCCTCCTGTCAGGGCCCATTCTACCTCATAACCAAGGAAAAGCAGACGGTCTATTGTCTGAATTTCAAGGCAACTAAGGTGCAGCGATGTTCTGGCTTATAAGATTTTTAAATACATATTTTAGAGTGGAGAGAGATTTTATACAGGGGTGGGTGTAAATGGAACTGCTGCAGGGCTCTTGGATGGCACATGCCCATAATCCTAGCTCCTGGGAGGCTGAGATAGGAAGATCTGCAAATTTGACCTCAGCCTGAGCTACTTAGCAAGACCCCATCTAAAAATAAAATCTAAGGGTGGAGATGTAGTTGAGTAGTAGAGTTCTTAATTAACATGCACCAAGCCCAGGGTTCAATCCCCAATACTACAGAGGAAACAAACAAAAACCTGCGGTGGCAAATCCCAAGTATTTGCCCTTATTTCAGAGCGGAATGTGGGGAAAGGCAAGAGCCTGCAGCCCCAGAATAGATTTGCATTTTAAAGTACTGCCCCAGGTCCCGTAGGGCTCCACCTACAAAGTCTCTGGTTGTTGTTGTTATCTGTAACCCTCTGTTGGTCCAGGTTTAACTTAGAAGCTATTTGTAAACTCTCTCTCATTGGTCTTGGTCTGTAATGGACAGAAGGCAAAATGTGAATGTTTGCAAAGACTTTTAAAAGTGACAAGAATCCTGTCGTACTTGTTATGCATTCAGCCATCCTGTAACAATAATGGCAGTAAACGTGAAGTTAAATCTACAATCCTATCACCTCAGCATGTTTCTGGTTTCTACCTTCCTTTCCATTTTCTTATGCCTTAAACATATGCAAATCCCTCTGTCAGTCTAGGTTCAAGTGCTGCTTGTATACCTCCTAAAAACAATTTTGCATTTTGCTTTTATTTTTCTCCCCTTTTTGCTTATTTCTGAGGCTGCGAAATATATATGTTTACAATATGCTTTAGTGGCTACCTCATATTCCATCCTGGTTATTCACTTTAAGTAACTATTCACCATAAATATTTTGGAGTCAAAGCTAACACTTTCGACCTTGCATTGCAGGGCCTGGAGGTCGGTCAAGGTTAGGCGGAGCGCTCCGGGCGACAAGGGCTGGGTCCGGTGGCCCAGAGGAGGGCGCCCAGTAGAAAGCCAGTGCGCCAATCGCTGGGCTTCGCCCGGCACCTGCCGTCTTGGCGCCTTTTCTCTGAGACCTCGCCCCACCCCGCGCACCCAAGCGGAGGGCCGGGGCCGGGTGCGCGCGCACATCACCCCAGGCGGTTTCTTTAGAGTACCTCGTTAGGTGTACGTGAGGCAGGAAGTGACGCAAATCCTAGGGGGTCGAGTGGGGCGGGCCCATGCTATAAGCCGCGGGTTGCGGGTGGCCAACCTCTCAGAGGGCGTCTGGATCGCGAGTAGCGGCTGGGCGGTAGCGGACAGAGGAGGAGGCGCCTGAGTGAGTGACGCGCGGCGGCTGTTAGAACTTCAGAGACCCTCTTGTTCTTTCCTCAGCCTGGGAGGCGGGTTGGAGCGGTATCCGGGCCGACCCCACCTCGGTGCTGTCCAGCAGCTGCGGGGAGGTGCGGAGGTTGCAGCGCCTCGGTGGGGCGGGCGGGATGCTGCGGGAGCCGCGAGCTGGTGGGCCGGGGGCTGCGTCCGCGCCGAGAGCGGGCTGCAGGTGCAGAGGGGTGGGGCCGCTCTGCAGAGAGGAACGTCCTTTTTCTCCTGCGTTTTGCGCCTGCCTTGGTCGCGGAGAGGCGAATGGTTTTTCTATTAGGGCTTAGGGCAAGAATAAAAATACCCCATCATCGCTCTGCCCTGTCTCCATTCTGCTTCCGGCTCCTCGGGCCGGGTCGATCCCTGTTCCTCACTAGCTGGCTCTTAAAAGCTGCATGCCCTCCTAGCCAGGCTCAGGGGCAGCCACGCTGCAGCAGCTCTGCTGAGCTTAGAGCACGTGGCTGCTCCAGGAAGTAACCCCCAGCAGTGGCTGTCGGGGTTCTTGGGTGACCTTGGGCTTATAACCCTTCTCTTCTGCAAGGCCTAGTCTCACTGCTAAAAGGGACAAAGCTGACCCCGATTCGGTTACGAGAGTGTCATGGGCATTTAGGTGGCAGTTTCTGAGAACCGTACATTTGAGCTCCGGTACCACCTGATCTTTTGCCAGGCTCTGCCTGTTGGCCTTGTGTGTGGACTCTCAAATTTTCCCAAGGCGGAATCCAACAGAACGTCCCAGGTGTTCACATTTAGAGTACTGCTGGCAGTCTTTCCTACAAGATGGGAGACCGTAGGAAAAAGACTTGTGTAAACTCTGTTTGGGAATTAGTGTGATCAAAGGGCTTTTGAGACCCATTGTGTTCATTGTTTCTGCTGGACAGCTCTCTATAGTGGTTGTGTGGAGAGAGGGTCTGTAAGAAAATGATATTTAGTGACACCTCTTTTCACTTAACACTTTCTCCCTGCCCACTGATTGCAGTGACCTTGGGGTACATGACTTATGGAGGGGACTGCATTATTGTGTATTTTCCCATTAAGAGGATTGAAATAGGAATCTGTCCAGTCACAGAAGTATTCGGCTACCCAACGTCTTTATTGGGGGCTTAACTACGAGTCTGTAATAGTAGGTGCTGACTCATTTGTCTCAGAGCTGGGAAATTTGACCCATTAACAAAGAAATTTAAGCTGACTTCTAGAATTTACTGCGAAAATTAAGTTTAGGCTCTCTAAAGTACTTGTGGGTCCTGCATTGTCTTTATGGTTTTGGATTATAAACTCAGTGTCCTTTACATGAAGAACCCACAGTTGAAAACTTTTACATGAAGAACCCACAGTTGGATATAATATAGTACCCCGCCACCCCCTTTGGGATGCTGTTGTCAAGTAATCATGACTGTAAACCTAGCCAGTGTTAAGGATTTAGTTTGGGTAACTCCACCCTAAGGCAGTTATTTGCTTCTGATAATGTGCTTATCTATTATGGAGTAAGGTTCCTAGTTAAACCTTAGGCAAACAATGAAACCTAGTTAAAAATGGCCTTGTGGAACTATTCTGTGTAGGTGCCTTCTTTCTGCTGTCCCTGATGAGCAGACTGCAGTGACTTCGAGTGGTTCTGTAATTCTGACCTTCAGTTTGGGCAATCTCTTTTCAGAAAGCTATATGGGAAGGAAGCTGCTGCTCCACTGCTCTTTCATTTCAGGCCATAAAATTAAACTCTTAACTAGAAACACCTTGACCATCCCTTGTGAATTCATACATATATGTGTGTATATATAAGTACATGAGTTTTGAGCACCCTGCACAAGTTTGGTAAATTCATGTAATCCTTTTCTTTTCACCTGGTGAATGCATAGTTGTCTAAGGAAATGTTTGCATTGTCTACAACCAGGTGCTTGAGATTTTAGAACCCTACCAGGTATATTTTACAGTTTTTCTGCTTTTATTTATTTAGATACCTGGGATTGAACCCAGGGCTTACATAACCATTGAGCCACATTTCCAGCCCTCTATATATATTATTTTGAGACAGGATCTTGCTAAGTTACCTAATTCAGTAAGTTGCTGAGGCTGACTTTCAACTTGAAATTCTGCCACAGTGTACCACTTCACTGTGCCCAGCAGTTTTTCTGCTTTTAAAGAAACTTCCCTCTACCCAAGATTTACCTAGTGATTTCAGGATAAACCAGACTAGTTATAAAGATGGGGAAAGATTCTAGTTCCAAACTCTTCATTATGTTCTTTTTCATGTCATTTGGAACCTCATATGCATTAATCATGTACCAATACTGTTAAGAAATAAAATTTTTACTCCTTATTAATTAACACATAGTCCATTATCCAGTGTTCCAGGATAGGGAAATATGTCAGAAAAAACTTCTTAAAGAAGGCCATTGAACTGAGTCTGGAAGAGATGAATAGGACCTCAAGGAATAGGGAAGAATGTAGGTAAAGTGTATTCTGTCTCATTTAGAAGAAAATGCAGATTATGAACGTAAGGCAGTGAAGATTTTTAGAACAGATCCTCAAAAACGGCTACAGGAACTTCCTTTTATGTGAACTCCAAAGACTGGAAACAGTGGCTGATTTTCTAAATTGAAGTGGGCTTGCTGGTATTGACAAATGGCTTGTTCTTACCTCACAAGAGAGAGTAGTGGCTTTGTCTGTTATAATAGGTGAGAGTATGTCTGAACTCTTCCACAACCTCCAGCTCTATGAAATTTTTATAGATCCTTAGTCTTGAGATACTACAATTAGTTTAAGATTTCAGGATAGTTCTTCACTGAGGTACATTCCCAGCAAGATGACTTTATTTTAAGGAAGGTTGGGATTGTAGTCTACCTAGTATCTTTTGCCTGTTTATCTTCTGTCTCACAAGTCAAAGACATTTCAGATCCTCCTTCTGTTTCACATAAGAATTGAACTGTTTTTTTTTCCCCTCAAGCTGGGTTTGGTGATCTATAACTTAAACCCAGTTTCTCCAGAGACTGAGGCTGGAGGATCACAAGTTTGAGGCAAGGGGGCAATTTAGTGAGACCCTGTCTCAAGATAAAAAGGACTGGGGAATATTTGTAGATCGGTGGTAGAGTGCTTGCCTAGCATATATGAGTACCCAAGTTCTATCCCCGTTGGGAACTTCAGAGATAATACAGTTAGCTAATGTGTGTAAAAATCCAGGTGATATTAGGATTGTATCTTGTAATAGATTAATCAGCATTGGTGATGACATCTTGAAATAAACCAAATGAGAATTGTTTTTGACTTTTAGATATGGCTTTTTTTTTTTTTTATTTTAATATTTATTTTTTAGTTTTCGGCGGACACAACTTCTTTGTTTGTATGTGGTGCTGAGGATCGAACCCGGGCCACACGCATGCCAGGCAAGCACGCTACCGCTTGAGCCACATCCCCAGCCCTAGATATGGCTTTTTAATAGAACTGTTTATAGACAGAATGGTGTTGATAACTGATAGGAAAAGTTTCTCTCCCATGCCCCTTTAGAGTACATAAATTAGAGTGATTTCACTTGGGTTTTTGTTTTGTTTGCCACAGATTAAACCCAGGGGCACTTAATCATTGAACCACAATCCCACTTTAAAAAAAAAAAAAAAAAAAAACAACTTTTGAGCCAGGGTCTCATTTAAGTTGCTGAGGTTGTCTTTGAACTTGTGATCCTCATCCCTCAACCTTCCAAGTATCACAGGCTTGTGCTTCCATATTCAGGTGATTTATTTTATGTTACGTTATTAATTTTGTGTCTGTAGATTGAAATAAAAATAACATTTGTTTTATCAGTAACATGTACTCTGGTTTTAATAAATAATAAAATGTGTAAATGTCTACTTGTTTTATAGATTTGAAAATTACTCAATCTCGTTTATTTAATTTATTTAAATGTGTTATGACTTAAAATTATTTCCATGACCAACGGTATAGCTCAATGGTAGAGTGTTTGCCTAGCAGGGATGTTTCATTCTGGGTTCCATCCCTAGTACTGCAATAAATAAATAAAATTATATAAACAAAATTAATTTAAAACTATAAAAATTGAGGCATGGTTGGTTCAGACAAGTTTTAAACTTATAAACTGTTTTCTCCTAGAAAAAGGATGATCAAAATTGGCTTAGGGTGGGGCCTTCTGGTTCTGGCCCAAGTGATTGTGGTTATACACTTTTGGTGCAATGGTAGTGATAAAACTTTGTACCAGAAGGGGCAAGAGATTGTACTACTAAGAATATGATAGATTGCATATGACTTTGGTCTTTAAAGCCTGGGGTTAAAAAAAAAATGTTTAAAAGTACTTTTTAGAAAGGAACTTTTTAGCCAGGTGTGGTGGTATTTGTAATCTCAGCAGCTCAGGAGGCTGAGGCAGGAGGATTGCAAGTTTGAAGCCAGCCTCAGCAACTTATTGAAGCTCTAAGCAACTCAGTGAGACCCTGTCTCAAAAGAGGAGGCTTTCTCTAAAGCCAGTTTACACAGTATTTTATTTTGTAGATGGCATGCTTTCTACCTTGTGGGTATTTAAATAATGTGCTATAAGTGTACTTCTGTGTTTGGGAAAAGACTTAAAAGTGGATTATATGTAATAGATGTCCATTTTCAACATCACTTTCAAGTACCTGGATGCACTCAGACCAAATTAATTCGAAAATTATGATTTCAGTAAAGGCTTTAACTTGACATGACGTTTAGTTACAGAGATATTTTACTTTGATTATAAATAAAATAAAGGTATTGTGTCCAACTACAGTTAAAAAATAGATAATTTTTAAAAAAGGGCTGGGGTTATAGCTCAGCAGTAGAGTGCTTGCCTAGCACATGCGAGGCCCTTGGTTTGATCTCAGCACCAATAAAAATAAATAAAATAAGATTGTGTCCAACTACAGCTTAAAAAAAAATTAATTCCAGGGGTAAGAATATAATTTCCCTCCCTCCTGCCCTCCCTTCCTTCCTTGGGATTGAACCCAGGGATGTTTTACTATTTATCATTGAGCTATATTCCCAGTTCTTTTTTTTTTCCTAGTGAGACAATTCTCACTAAGTTGCTGAGGGTCTTGCTATATTGCACGGCTGGCCTCAATTTTGTAATATTGCCCCAGACCATCGAGCCACTGGGATTACAGGTATGTGCCATTGCCTTGGCCAAGAATACTTTAGATTTAGAGTATCAGTTTGCACCCAGGTGCAGTAGCACATGCCTATAATTCTGGCCACCCTGGAGGCTGAGACAAGAGGATCAAAGCCAACTTGAGCAATTTAGCAAGACCCTGTCTCAACATAAAACATAAAAAAGGAGGTGGAAAATACTAGATTAAACAAAGGTGGCTGGGGATGTGGCTCAAGCGGTAGCGCGCTCACCTAGCATGCATGCGGCCCGGGTTCGATCCTCAGCACCACATACAAAACAAAGATGTTGTTTCCGCCGAAAAACTTAAAAAAAAAAAAAAAAAAAAAAAATTAAAAATTCTCTCTCTCTCTCTCTCTTTAAAAAACAAGACAACAACAACAAAAAACAAAGGTACCTCCTCCAAACAAAACAAAACAAACCTTAAGAAGGGCTTGGGATGTGGCTCAGTGGTTAAACACCCCTGATTTTAATCCCCGGTACCAAAAAAAAAAAATTATCAGTTTGCAGCCTTATATAAATCACTTAGCTTCTTAGGTAATTGATGTCTTCGTCTGTAAAATAGCATATCTATGTGTTTTGTGTGTGTGTGTGTGTGTGTGTGTGTGTAAGATCTAACAAATTATTAGAGCAACTGTTTTAAATGAAGGATTAGGATTCTCATGTCTATTGCAGATGCTTTGTGATTTTGACTTAATTCTGCTTCAGTCTTCCCCTCCCCCAGATGATAGTCTGTTGTCTCCCCCACCTTTTTTTTTTTTTCCCCCAGTACTGAAGATTAAACCCAAGGTCTTGAATGCTAGGCAAGTGCTCTACCATTGAGCTACATCCCCAGCCCTGTCCCTTTTTCTTTTTGCTGCTAAATTTGGCTACTTAAATATGCTTAGCAGGGATGACATTCTAATTAGTTTTCCCCATATTTTAATTTTCAAATATGTCAAGCCTGCAGGTAAAGTTGAAATAATAGTACAGTGATACTCTTTCTATCCCCTTTAACTAGATTTACTGTTAGCTGTTTGCCACATAAGGGTGATACACACACACAGCGTACTGAAAGTGAGTTACAGACAAGATACTTCATCCTTAATTACTTGTCATTAATCTAAGAACAAAAATATAACATCATTATCACACTCCCAAAATCTGGCATTGATAGAGTAGCATTAGTAAGTAGTCCATATTCAAATTTTTTGTTTCTGTCCTGTCTTTCAAGCTAACCTCACTGCTACCCTGCTTTAATTCAGGAATTTGATATATAATAATCTATTCTGATGATGAAAAGCTCTCACTAATTTGATATAGTATTATCTATCTCATTATATTAATTCTTTATTCTAATATTAGGTTCTTCCCTGTGGCAACTCACAATGATGGATCAAGCCAGATCAGCAATCTCTAACTTGGTAAGATATTTTTAATTATATTTTTGTCTGCAAGTATGTGAAGTATAAAAGCCTGACTTTCACCCAGCAAGCATGATATAATATCCCCAACTATACTTATGTGATCTTTTACATTTGAACTAGGTCTTGAGGCATATACAGATCCCATAAAGGAAGGGTATATCCAGGCTTTTGTGTGTGTGTGTGGGGGGGGGGGGGTTACTGAGAATTGAACCCAGGGATACTCTACGACTGAGCCTTAATCCTTTTTTAATTTTTTATTTTGAGATAGTATCTCACTAAATTGCCAGGCTGGCCTCTAACTTGAAATTGTATGTACCTCAGCTTCCTGAGTAGCTGGGATTACATGTATATGTCATCACACATATAGGGTAGATTCATATAGGCTGTAGATTCACTTGTGGGTTTTTTTGTTTGTTTGGTACTGGGGATTGAACTCAGGGTCACTTGACCACTGAGCCACATCCCAGGCCTATTTTGTATTTTATTTAGAGACAGGGTCTGACTGAATTGTTTAGCGCCTCGCCTTTGCTGAGACTGGATTTGAACTCGCAATTCTCCTACCTCAGCCTCCCCAAGTCACTGGGATTACAGGTGTGCGCCACCATGCCCAGCTAGATTGTTTTTGTTTTTTAATATTTTTTAGTTGTCAGTGTACCTTTATTTTATTTATATGTGGTGCTGAGAATCCAACACAGTGTCTTACACATGCTAGGCAGGCTCTCTACCACTGAACTACAACCCCAGCCCTAGATTCAGTTTTGGTTTTTTTTTTGTTTGTTTGTTTGTTTTTTAATATCTAGCTTCAGGTATTTTATTATAGCAACAGAAAATGCCCCCTGGTATGATCCACCCTTCCTCTGGGAGCACTCCCAATACCAAGATATGTTCCAGTGTTTGTGTGAAGACAGGAATAGATTCAGTTCTGATTAAGATTAATTATGGAAAATACTGTAGAAGCTTCAGGGTGTTTGGGTATGTTTGGTTATGTTGGTTCTATTTGATAGGATGAACTAAGGAATATCTAGAGGGTATCACAGGAAGCCAGGCATGTTGGTGTATAGGTATAGTCCCAGCTACTTGGGAGGCTGAGGCATGAGGACCTTTGAGTCCAGCTTAGGCAGCACAGCAAGACCTGATATCTTAGTATGAAGAATTCTCTTTTAAAAATGTGTAGAGGAGGGGCTATAGCTGTAGTCCAATGGTATAGCATTTGCCTAGCATGTGTGAGGCACTGGGTTCCATCTCAGCACCGCATCTAAATAAATAAAGTTCCACTGAAAAAAAAATTTTAAAAAATGTATAGAGGAGCTGGGCACAACTTGGGAGGCTGAGGCGGGAGCATCGCAAATTCAAAGTCAGCCTCAGTAACGGTGAGGTGCTAAGCAACTAAAGTGAGACCCTGTCTCTAAATAAAATATAAAATAGGGCTGGGGAGTTGGTGTAGGGGTTGAGTGCCCTGGTACCAAAAAAAAAAAAAAAAAAAGTATAGAGGAGATATATAAACAGAAATCCTGAATGAAAAAGCTTAATGAAGAAGACCAGTATGTGTTCTAGCCCTCATCTGCCATTGACAGAACTGGGCAGAGGGAAGATTGTTAATTTGAAAGAGAAACTTCTTTTCCTTTAATAATGTATATCAGGTAGGTCAGGCATGGTGGTACACACCTGATATCCCAGTTTGAGAGGCTGAGGCAGGAAGATCACAAGTTCAAAAACAGCTTTAGCAACTTAGCTGAGACCCTGTCTCAATTTTAAAAAAAAGGGACTGGCATTTTCTCTCAATAATTAAGTTCCCCTGTGTTCAATCAATCCCTGGTACAATACAACAATAGCAACAAAAACTCTATCAGGTGATAGTAATGGTCCAAGTATGGTACTTGTGCATGTGCATTTTCATGGTGGCATACACCTATACTCTCAGCTTCTCAGGAGGCTGAAGTAGTAGGAGATTTTCAAGTTGAGGGCCAGTCTAGGCAACTTAGTGAGACCCTGTCTTAAAATAAAACAGGCTGTGAAATGTAGCTCAGTTGTATAGTGCCTAGCAAGTTCTAGGACTTGGGATCTATTCCAGTACCACCACTACCACCCCCCACCAAAAAAGAAAAGAAAAACCAAGTTTAGTACTTGAGCAAGCTTTTGTAAATGTTCCTAATTCCTTTTTTTTTTTCCTCCATAATGCTTTCTTTTTTTTGTTAAATCTCAGTTTGGTGGAGAACCATTGTCATATACCCGGTTTAGTCTGGCACGCCAAGTAGATGGAGATAATAGTCATGTCGAGATGAAACTAGCTGTAGATGAAGAAGAAAATGCTGACAGTAATATGAGGGCCAGTGTCCCCAAATCAAAAAGGTTTAACGGAAGTATCTGCTATGGGACTATTGCTGTAATCATCTTTTTCTTGATTGGTAAGTGTTTCTTCTAACCAATTTTGAGAAGTCTATTTTAGCTCAGCAGATCGTTATTTTGTACCTTTAAATATCACTATGCTAGACACTAGCAGTACAATGATAACTAATACTTTATACCTGCCATTGAATTTAATGTAGTAGAAGAGAGATACACAAATAATTTTAATATCTTGTGCATATCTTATGCTAGAAACATACACAGGTTATTTGAAGCAAAGAAACTCAGCCTGAGGTTTCAAGGAAGGCTTCTGATGAGAAAGCATACCTACCTAGAGTTTGAACAAATAAACTGTTTAAGTAGTTACTGTATAATAGATTCAATGGTTTAAAATCTCTGAAACAGAAATGCATTGTATACTTTAAAATTAGTTAGAATTTAATTAAAATCAGTATTTTCAAGATTTAGCTTAAAATTAACGATTTCTATGGGTGTAGATTATTAATAAGTTCTACAAGTTTATTGCTCAAACTTTTTTATCTTCAGGATTTATGATTGGTTATCTCGGCTATTGTAAACGAGTAGAACCAAAAACTGACTGTGGAAAATCAGGAACAGGGGTGGAGGAATCAGAAAACTCAGAAGCAGAAGAGGACTTCCATGAAACACCTTCTCGCTTGTATTGGGCAGACCTTAAAGCAATGTTGTCAGAGAAACTGAATACCATAGATTTCACCAGCACTATCACGTAAGTTTGAATTACTTCACAAGTTCATCTTCAATGTCTAAATGCATATTACTGATTATTAGGTGGCAGTGAAAGAAAACAAGGCTGAGTCTTGAGGAGAGGCTTTTTAGGGTAGGGGAGATTTCCCAATAGCTACAGAAATAAAAAGGGGGTCAGCGAGGAATTGAAACTCAGCAGTAGTGGAGAAAAGTTAGAACTTTCCTGGGAATTCTCCATTGAAAATTTCATAGCTTTGATCTTTTTGCCATCCTTTTTTTTTTTTTGTAGCTTATTGCTCATTATCAAGACTTCTCAGTTCCATCTTAGCCTTTTGTCACAACGTGTTGAGCTCTGCTACTGTCCACAAGGGCATAGTTTCTTTCATCTTCTACAGTCATGACTTATTTGACTGCCTGACTTGATATGTACTCTACTATTTCTTGATTTCTGCTGGTTCTCACTCATTAATTCATAACCCAAGAGATATCCTTATAAAGTTTCTGTCCCATCTTCCTCAACACATGTCTCTGTGTAAAAAACAAATCATCTTTTTACCTTTTGCTAGCTTCCTACATTTTCAATTAGCAATTTTGGTATTTTACTTCATAGGCATTATGGACAAATTAAGTGTGGTCCATGGGAGACAGGGGCAAAAAATTAGTGTGCTGAGTATCATTAGTAAGAACCATGTGAGTTCTGACAGTTTTGCTTCCAGGGGATTCAAAATGCCTCAAAGAGGTAAAAATTGAAACTACACATCTTTTTTCTTCTGATTTTTTTTTCTATCTGGTCAATTAAGAAGTTTGGGTCATAGTTCATTTAATTGTGAGGATAATTCTGAGCTCTGGGATTAAAACACTTTGCTTGGTGATTGGAATAAATGTTTTATAAATGTTTTAACAGACTTTTTTCCCTCTAGGCAATTGAATCAAAATACATATGCCCCTCGTGAGGCTGGGTCTCAGAAAGATGAAAATCTTGCCTATTTTATTGAAAATCAATTCCGTGAATTTAAACTCAGCAAAGTCTGGCGTGACGAACACTATGTTAAGATTCAGGTCAAAGGCAGGTATGTCAAAAGATCTATAAACTTATTTTATAGAAGTAATGACTTTCAAGTCATGCTAACATAGCAATGACTTTAAAAGTAAAAAATAAGTTTAAGATTTAGAGCAAAATTCCCTCAAGCCAGATAATTCAAGTCTGATACTAAATGTATTCAAGCTATTTAATATATTTTTCCCCAAGGTTGGTCTTAGCTTCATTTTAATTTAATCTTTTTTTAGCCATGTTCAAGACTCGGTGATTCTATTGAATAATAGCCTGGCATACCTGTTGGAGAATCCAGAGGGTTACGTGGCATACAGTAAAGCAGCAACAGTTACTGTAAGTAAGGCAAAACAGTGCATGAAACACTACTCTGATGAATAGCTCTCCTCTTCACTCATTTTGCTCTGGTCACTTTGACCTTCTTGTTGTTTACCATTTAAACTCAAGCATGTTCCTATCTCAAACCTTTTATAAAGTTTTATAAGACTTTTATGAAGTTTTATAAAACTTGCCTTCCATGGGGTGCTGTGATGCACCCCCATCTGTATCCCAGCAACTTGGAAGGCTGAAGCAGGAGCAGCACAAACTCCATGCCAGCCTCTGCAACATAGGGAGTCCTAAGCAACTTGGCAAGGATTGGGGATGCAAAAAAGTAGCTTCCCTCTAATTACTTTCCTCTTACTGTTTTTTGTTGTTGTTGTTGTTGTTTGTTTTGTTTTTCCCTTTAATATACTTCTAGCACCTAACACCAACTATTTATTTCCACTGAATGTAAACTAGAGATTAGTTTCATTTATGACATGTCCCACAGCCTTGGAGAGTGCCAGACACATAGTGGTATTTGCTAATGAATGCACATATCAAACTCCCCTTTGGAACAGCTAAATAGCCACCTTGGGCTGGGGGTGTGACTCAGTGTTGGTAGCATGCTTGTCTACATGTATATACAAAGCCCTGGGTTTGATCACCATAAAAGTAAATAATAAATTGTCAGATTATTTGCCAATTATAAATCATACATTTGTATATTGGCTTTATATTTAATGGGTGCCTTCTGCGCCAGATGAAGTTTTATGGTGGTTTTCTGCATTCCTGATTGGTCACCTGTATCATTTGGAGATGGGGAGATTGTTTTGTTATGTAACATTGAGATTTTAGTTCATCTGCAATTTTTCTATATTCAGATATTGGGTTATTAATGTTAGTTTATAGCTAGCTGTTCACTAATAGTGAATACTAATAGTTTAGAAACTTGATGACAACTTATGCAAACATCTAAAAGTTGGTTTATGCAAGTCACATTATTTTAATATAGTATTTAAACAATTTTTTAGAAAGATTTATTATACTCTTCAGTTAAAACTTAGGCATGTCCTTAATTGTCTGAGATTCAGGAATGGAAATCTTATGTCATTGGTGCTTCTATGATAGCCTGTATATGCCTCTGTGTTTAGTATATCCTATTATCACTTTTTTTTCCCCAGAAATAGCCAAAGCAATGTAAAATAGTGTTTAAATTAAAGCCATCATGTGATAAGCAAAAGCATAAATAAAGGAAGCTGGGAATCTTGGTTTTACTCCTGATAACTGACCAGTTTTGACATTCAGAACTTTACAATATCTTTTTGGCTTTGACCCCCCCACTTTTTTTCCCTCCCTTTCTTGGTTTCCTCTTTCAGATTCTATAGCTGTTCTGATACAGCTCATTAATGCTCTTAAACCTACTGTCTTTGTTCTAGGGCAGATTGGTTCGTGCTAATTTTGGCACTAAAAAAGACTTTGAGGATTTAAATGTTCCTGTTAATGGATCTTTAGTGATTGTTAAAGCTGGGAAAATCACTTTTGCAGAAAAGGTGAGTATGGGTTATCAAATTCAATGGTATCTTACTAGTTAGTTAAATGCTATTTCTTGTCAATTTTCTCAAATTTCATTTATCTAAAATCATAGGATATTTCAAAACTATGGCATATTCACTTCCTAGTATTTTGTAGCCAGCCATCATTGTCTATGAGTGAAAATGAAATAATAAAAAAATGCTTAAATGAGCAGGGCATGAGCACACTCCTGTAATCCCAGTTACTCTGTAAGCTGAGAGTATCACAATTTCAGGGCCAGCCTCAGCAACTTAGGGAGGACCTAAGTAGTTCAGTGGTTGAGCCTCTGTGTTCAGTCTCCAGTAATAAAAGGAAAAAAAAAAAAAGAAGAAGCTTAAATGAAAGCAATTTAAATTATGTCTGTATAACCCGGCTTTATGTGTGTATAGAATTCAGTTATGTTTTATTAAGGAGGAAATTAAAACATGCTACACAAAGGACAAGATCGTAAAATATTTTCCATATTTTTTTTATTGGTGCATTATAGTTGTATGTAAAGGTAGGATTTGATATTATGTATGCATGTATGAATATAACAACAATATGATCTGGCCAATATAATTCTCCAGTATTTCCACTTACCCTCAACTTGTCCTGCCTGGTCCCTTTCCTCTATCATCTCCCTTTGATTTTCACAAGGAACCCACTCCCCTTTTCTTTTTTTTTTTCCTCTCTAGCTTCTACATGTGAGAGAAACTTCTGATCCTTGACCTTCTGAGTTTGGCTTATTTCACTTGACATGTTCTCAAGTTCCATCCATTTTTCTGAAAATTACATTTTATTTTTTATATAACTTTGTTTACTTTTTATGTGGTGCTGAGGATCAAACCCAGTGCCTCACCCGTGCTAGGCAAGCACTGTACCACTGAGCTACAGCTCCAGCGCCTCGTTTTTCTTTATGGCTGAATAAAACTCCATTGTGTATATGTACCACATTTTCTTTATTCATCCATCTATTGATCAACACCTAGGTTGGTTCCATAATTTGGCTGTTGTGAATTGTGCTGCTATAAACATGGGTATGCATGTATCACTATAGTATGATGACTTTAATTCTTTAGGATAAATATGGAGGAATGGTATAGCTGGATCATATGGAGGTTTCATACCTAGACTTTTGAGGAACCTTTATACTAATTTCCATAATGGTTGTACTAATTATAGTCCATCCAACAGTATAAGAGTGTTCCCTTTTCAACATATCCTTTATTATTGTTTGTATTCTTTTTAAAATATTTTTTAGTTGTAGATGGACACAATACCTTCATTTTTATTTATTTGTTTTTATGTGGTGCTGAGGATCAAACCCAGTGCCTCACATGTGCTAGGTGAGTGAGTGCCACAGCCACATCCCTTATTGTTTGTATTCTTGAAGACTGTCATTCTGATTGGTCTGAGATAAAATCTCAGTGTAGTTATGTTTTTCATTTCCCTAATTGCTAATGATGTTGAACATTTTTTTTTCCATATATTTTTGGCCATTGTAAGAAGTGTCAATTTAGTTCATTTGCCCATTTATTAATTGGGTTAGTTGGTTTTTTTGTTTGTTAAACTTGTTCTTTATGTTTTCTGGATATTAATCCTCAGAAAAATTTCTCCTATTCTGTAGGTTCTCTCTACACATTCTCAAGTGTTTCCTATGCTTGTAGAAGCTTTTTAACTTGATGCCATCTCATTTATTAACTCTTGGAATTATTTTCTGAGCTAGGGGTCCTATTGAGAAAGGGACTGGAAAATATTAAAAGACTGGTTATCTTGAATAAATTTTCAAGATTCTCTGTAATTTGTTAAGTTTCAAGGGATTTTTTTTTTCCTAAATGTGTAAGATACTTGAAACTTTTGGGAATATCAGTTTAGTCCTGTAACAATTTGTTCTTTAGCTTAAAGTCCAATGTATATTATTCTTACCTTATATGATTAGATCTTCATTTTCTGACTATGTTTTTCTGTAGGTTGCAAATGCTGAAAGCGCAAATGCAATTGGTGTCTTAATATACATGGACCAGGCTACGTTTCCCGTTCTTAAGGCAGACCTTGCAGTCTTTGGACATGTGAGTTCTTATTTCTTAATTCAGTGAGTTTTTGAATTCTCCTAATTGTTACTGGTTCCACCTACCTTAATAGAATTAAAACTATGCACTGGACATGGTGGAGCATGCCTGTAATACATGTGACTAGGGAGGCTAAGGCAGGAGAATCACAAGTTTAAAGCCAGTCTTTGCAACTTAGAAGTTGGGTATATGGCTCAGTGGTTAGATGCCCTTGGGTTTAATCCCTGGTTCCAAAAAAAAACAACTAAATAGAACTATGCCTCCTTTAATACTCCTTTAATAGAATTTTAATAGGAAGTAGGGAGATAAGTACTTTATCAGTAATGTCTTGAGCTGCCAGGGTGAGTGCATGCCTGGGGTTCAAGCAGAGGATGAGGCAGGAGAATTTTAAGTTCAAGGCCAGCCTGGGTAACTTGGTGAGACCTTGCCTCCAAAGGGTGTGTGTGTGTAGGGGGGGGGTGGATCTGGGGCTATAACTCAATGATAGAGTGCCCTGGGTTCAGTTCCAGTACCATAAAGAAAATAAGGTGTATATAGTGCCTTGAATTGAAATTGCTAAAAATATTTATTGCCAAAAATACTTCATCAGTAGTGCTTTGAATTGAGAATTTGGCCTATGCCATCTAAAAATAAGTGAGCCACTTAGACTTTAGGTTGTTGAACTAGCTTGGGCTGTGTAGCCTTATACCAATCTGAATCTTCTAGGTAACTTCTTAAGTGGCAGAGAGAACTAATTAACTCTTTCATTTCTATTTACTAGGCTCATCTGGGAACAGGCGACCCTTATACACCTGGATTCCCATCTTTCAATCATACTCAGTTTCCTCCATCTCAATCATCAGGATTGCCTAATATACCTGTCCAAACAATTTCCAGAGACTGTGCAGAAAAGCTGTTAGCGTAAGTTATTATTTGAAAGCTGTCTTGTAAGATGAGGTTTTATAAGAGAAGACTGACTAATAAGCTTAAATTGATCTAATAAAACCTGAAAATAATTGTGTATAATTTTTCACATTTGGGAATTTGGGGAATACTTATTTAATAACTTGGTATGAATAAAATGAAAAAATTCTCTAAAATGATATTGATAATAGATATTAGATTTATAAACTCAGGAATTCTTGTTCAATTTGGTCAGTGAATTCATTGTGTGGTATTCTGGCATAACTTCTGCTTGAGTCCTTTTTATGGTAAAGCATGTTGTTACCTATGGTAACTTATTAAATTATAGGAGAAAATATGTTAGAATTCATGTTGAGCTGCAGTAACACTGTAACATCCACTAGTATTTGGGTGATTTTCTTTGGTAGCACAGAATTATTCTGGTTTCCTGGTCTATGTTGAATGTCCTCAGTTCTCATAATAGTTTTCAAATGTTTTATGTTCATAATTCTTTTGGATAATCCTCCCTAATACACAAGTACCTCTTAAAAGCAGAGTATAACCAGCTGTGGTAGCACTTGCCTGTAGTCCCAGTACTCAAGAGGCTGAGGCTGAGGCAGGATGTTCGCTTGAGCCCATAGACCAGCCTGGGCAACATAGTGAGACCCCCATCTCAAAACAAGAAATATTCCAGTCTGAAAGTACACATATCATTAATTTTTTTCTGCCTAATATTGTCATACAATAGATATCTAATTTTAGATCTTTATTCAAACTTTGAAAAAATTGAGTTATAGTAAGGGGTAATAATTGTTTTTTTGTGGGGCGGTTACTGGGGATTGAACTTGGGGGACACTCAACACAGAGCCACATCCCCAGCCCTTTTTTGTATTTTACAAAACCAAATCTTTACTTATTTCAGAGTGTTTTATTTTTCCTGTGGTGCTGAGGATTGAACCCAGTGACTCACAAGTGCAGGCAAGCACTCTACCAAAAAAAGAACCCCAGTCCCCTTTTTTGTGTTTTATTTAGAGACAGGGTTTCACTAAGTTGCTTAGCACTGCCTCACTGTTGCTGAGGCTGGTTTGAACTCTATCCTGTACCACCCATGGGCGTAATGTTTTGATGCAGGTTTTTTTTTTTTTTTTTTTTAAACGAAACATTAGGGAAAGATAACTCCCAGCAACATAGGAATATTCTTTTGTAATAGATGAAAATATATGTTACCTTTGGTGGAGAAAGCTGGGAAATATGAATTATATTAATGGACTTTTATGATCTTCGTTCTGAGTACATCTTGGCATGTATTTCAAATGTAAACTAGCTTTGTCTCAGGCAGGTGAGAGTAAGGAGACATTTAAAAATATTGTTAAACTAGGAAATAACTCATGGTTTTCAAATAACTGCCTACTGATTAGAGTAAGAGGAAAATGGTTGACCACTAGGGATTAAATTTTTTATATTCTCTTTATGTGTCCTTTGAACCTAGAACCTGGACAGACTGTAGGACTGATTTTCCAATCCTTACAGAAATAACAATAACCCAGATCTTTGCCTGTTTTCTACTTCTAGAAAAATGGAAAAAGACTGTCCTTCTAGTTGGAGAACAGACTCTTCATGTAAGATGCAATTCCCAGAGAATATGAATGTGAAGCTATCTGTGAACAATGTGCTGAAGGAGATAAAAATTCTTAATATCTTTGGAGTTATTAAAGGCTTTGAAGAACCAGGTAAAGAAAGACCTTTGTTTTGTACTTTTTCCATTGATTTTTTTTTTTTTTTTTTAATTCTCCCCTTAGGCATGTGGCCAGAGAAGTAGGGAGTGCAGGAAGGCTAACATGGGTTGGTTTTATGAAGTGCTAAATCTTATCTGTCCTCACCTGGACTGTGGTGTTATCAGCCTTATTGGGAGGTAACAAGACCCTAGTTTAAAACTGACCATCATTACTAGACTAGGGATAAGCACATTTTTAATCTCAGATGTTCTATGTCTATCTGTAGCTAGGCTCTTTTATACTTAATGCATACTGTACACTTTACTGGCATGCTTATTCTAGACTTAATTATTAGAAAACAGTTTTAAAGCTCATCATAGCTGGATGCTGTGGTGCACACCTGTAATCCCATCAGTTGGGATGCTGAGGCAGGAGGATCGCAACTTCAAAGCCAAACCCCAGCAACTTAGCAAGACCCTGTCTCTAAAATAAAAAAGGGCTGGATATGTGGTTCAATGATTAAGTGCCCCTAGGTTCAATCCTTGAAACAACAACAACAAAAAAGGTCAGGTGCAGTATTGCTTGCCTGTGATCCCATTTTCTCAGAAGACTTGAGTAAATTCAAGACTAGCCTTACAACTTAGAACAGGGTAGGGTATAAGCACTCCTGAGCACTATTTTTTATAATTTTTTAGTTGTAGATGGACACAACACATTTATTTATTTATTTTTGTAGTGCTGGGGATTGAACCCAGGACCTTATGCATGCAAGGCAAGCTCTCTACCAACTGAGCTGTGCCCAGTATTCAACCCAGTGCCTCACACATGCTAGGCAAGCAAAATGCTCTACCACTGAGCTACAACTCCAGCTCTCTGAGCGATATTTTTTTAAAAAAAGAATAAACTCAATTGTGTAAAAATAATTTATTTTCTTTTTCTCCCTACCCCTCCAAGATCGCTATATTGTAATAGGGGCCCAGAGAGATTCCTGGGGTCCTGGCGCTGCAAAATCCAGTGTAGGAACAGCTCTTCTCTTGGAACTTGCCCGGACATTTTCAGATATGGTTTTAAAAGGTAAAGTACAAAGTTTGAGACCTTTGAACCTTTATGTACTATGTTTAGTTCTAGATATTATTATATGCTTTCTTCACTTTTGCCTATCTTCTTAGGATTCTCTTATGCTAATTTTTAAACATAAGGTAGATTATCTTTTCTTTTAGTTGCTTTTGACTTTGAAATGACTCTAATGAAGGGTCTTATTGAATCATCGGGGTTTTTTGAATATTTATTTTTTAGTTGTAGATGGACACAATACCTTTATTTTTATGTGATGCTAAGGATCGAACCCAGGGTTTCTGATGTGCTAGGCAAGCACTCTACTCCTGAGCCACAATCCTAGCCCAAATCATCAGGTTTTTTGGATATTGGAAAAGTATTGAGCCTTGTTTTTTTTTTTTTCCTTCTCCAATTTGACATATCCAGAATGACATGCCAAATTTAATAGTGGCATATATGAAGGTGCTAAAGCCAAACAAAATGATAATAATATTCTGTTTATTTTCAAGCTTTTCTATGGTACTTGCCACTCTTCTAACCCACCTACACACATAATGCAAACCCATATTATGCTTGAACCTTTCAGTTATATAGTAAATTGGTTAACTTTTATACAAAATACATTGATACAGAAAAGTAATTATCTTGCATAATTATTGGGATGGAGAGCAGTGTCATATGTAGTTCCAAAAGGAGCTGCCGTAAATGTGATTTCTCTAGAAACTTCCCATAACTTAAATTTCTGAGTTTTTGTTCTATTTCATAAGTATTGTTCACATGGGTGTGGTGGTGCATGCCTGTCTTCTCAGCTGCTTGGAAGACTGAGGTGAGAGGATTGCTTGAGCCCACAAGTGTGAAGTCAGCTTGGGCAATGTAGTGAATGAATGAACAAACAAAAACCCTTTAAATGACTTTGCTGCTAAGCAGATTGTTCTCAAAGAAGATAGATATCACAGGGCATAGTGACTCATGCCCATAATCTAAACCATTTGGAGACTGGCACCAAAGGGTTGCAAATTCAAAGTTCTTGTTTTGAGGGCTGGGTATGCAGCTCAATGGTAGAGAGTGCCCCTGGATTCAACCCCTAGTACTCCCCACCTACCAAAAAAAATATAGATTATAGAAGATGCACATCACACTTGCACTATGATTTCCAAATATTTTTTGATTCAGGAGTTAAGGTACTCCAAGAGCCAGATCATTGGTGCACCCTTGTAATCTCAGTGATTTGGGAAACTGAGGCAGGAAGAGCTCAAGTTCAAGGCCAGTCTCAGCAATTTAGTGAAGCCCTAAGCAACTCAACAAGATCCTGTCTCAAAATAAAAAGGGTTGGGAGTGTTAGGCTTATGCCTATAATCCCAACAGCTCTGGAGTTTGAGACAGGAGGATTGGGAATTCAAAGCCAGCCTCAGCAATGGTGAGGTGCTAAGCAACCCAGACCCTGTCTCTAAATAAAATACAAAATAGGCCTGGGGATGTGGCTCAGTGGTCAAGTGCCCCTCCTGATAACCCCCCCCCCCCCCCAGCAACAACAACAAAAAAACAAAGGGACTCAACAAAAGGAGTAACTATTGTGTACTTGAAATCTTATTGGTAGAGATCTCATTCTACCCTTTGTAGATCACTTAAAAATTTTATTCCTATTCCTTTAGCACTCTTTACCTGGGGTCTCAATAGGAAAATCAATATTTTAAAATCTTCTATTTTGAATTAGAAGCTTTATTATGTCAGTTACTTGCCTGTACCCCTTTCCCAGCGTTAATCTAATTTTTGTGTTCTCTTTCAGGTGGGTTTAAACCCAGCAGAAGCATCATTTTTGCCAGTTGGAGTGCTGGAGACTTTGGAGCGGTTGGTGCCACTGAATGGCTTGAGGTATTCTTTACATATCATTTGTACTCAGAACAGCCATCTGAACTTGTATTGACTTTTGCTGTCCTGTAGAAATTGCTCTTTTAGGTTTATTTATACCATTTTAGAATCCAGATGTAAAAATGAATCCCTAATAAGAGCTAATGTAATAGATAGATTAATACTTATTAACTCAAATATATATTAATTCATACTCATTAATATTTTCTTTTTTAGGGATACCTTTCTTCTTTGCATTTAAAGGCTTTTACTTATATTAATCTGGATAAAGTTGTTCTTGGTAAGTATCCTTTTCACTAGTAATTTTATGAATTCAGGTAAACTCTGAAACAACATAAGAAAGGTTCATAAAGGATAAAGGAGGGGGCTGGGGATGTGGCTCAGGCGGTAGCACATTCGCCTGGCATGCGTGTGGCCCGGGTTCGATCCTCAGCACCACATACAAACAAAGATGTTGTGTCCCCGAAAACTAGAAAATAAATTTTTTTTTAAAAAAAACCCCTCTCTTTAAAAAAAAAAAGGATAAAGGAGGCAGTTGTGATATATATATATAAAAATAAATAAAATACTGGACATAATCAGCTCTAAATAATCCATGAGGTTACTGAATGGACACAGATTGACTTGTCTAGAGCAGTGGGTCTCAGTGTGGTCCCCTGATCAATTACATCAGGACTATTAGGAATGCACACTTCAAGGCCCCACCCTAGATCTTTTGAGTCAGAAACTGGAACATAAGTCAAACAAACTGTGTTTTAAGTTTTAGAACCACTAATCTGGACCATATTTTAGACCAGAAGGAACTAACCCATACCATATAGAGCAGAACTTCTAATTCATATCCTGCTGGATTGTGGCAGCACTGATAGAAATACTAGATAATCGAATTCATGAAAGAGTTTGCATGTTACTTAAAGTTTATATGTAGTTAATGAATGGACTAAAAATAGTAAAAAGTCTACTTTGGAAAGAAAAAGAAAGGTGATATAATTAAACTAAAATCTTTCTTATATCACTCATTATTTCTGTGTTTTACTTCTGTAGCAGAATGTATTGAGTATAGTACATTTACTTTAACTAGCAGGTGACTGCCAGGCCTAACTTGGGGGAATCAAAAAGATTTTTTAAAAAAATCAAAATACAGATTATAGGGCTGGGGATGTGGCTCAAGCGGTAGCACGCTCGCCTGGCATGCATGCGGCCTGGGTTCGATCCTCAGCACCACATACAAACAAAGATGTTGTGTCTGCCGAAAACTAATAAATAAAAAATATTAAAAAAAAAAATACAGATTATAGGAGAGATTATGTGTGGGATATCTATGGGAAATCATTGTACCTCCTCTTAATTTTGCTATGAACCTGAAATTACTCTTTTAAAAAAAGTCTCAAAATCACAAAGGTATTGTAAAGTCAAGGACTAAGAGCCTGAGTTGAGTCAATTAAGAGTTCTCAGAGAAATGAATGACAGTAGAGGGGGTAGAGAGAGAAGAGGGGAGGGGAGGGGGGATAGTAGAGGATAGGAAAGGCAGCAGAATACAACAGACACTAGTATGGCAATATGTAAATCAATGGATGTGTAACGGATGTGATTCTGCAATTTGTATACGGGGTAAAAATGGGAGTTCATAACCCACTTGAATCAAAGTGTGAAATATGATATATCAAGAACTATGTAATGTTTTGAACAACCAACAATAAAAAATTTAAAAAAAAAAGAGTTCTCAGAGTTGCTAAAGATCTTGGCTCCTCAACTACTTTTTTTTGTATACTTTGTTACTATTTGTTAAGCGCCACAGCTATAGGTAGGTTACTCTCTTCCTGTTCTTATTTTTTTTTAGTTGTAGAAATATCAATGTGAAATGTACTTAATGGAAAAGGGGCAATGTTAAAATAATTTCTTTGCAGGTACCCGCAACTTCAAGGTTTCTGCCAGCCCTCTCTTATACAGGCTTATTGAGAAAACAATGCAAGACGTGAGTGTATAACTAATTACAAAAATGTATAACTTTTTTGTCATGTTTATATAAGATGAAAAATATTTAGGCCATTATCAGTAACCAATGGTAAGAATTTAGCATAAATTTTATAATAGCATTATTTAAGTCATGCTCTTGTTTTGTTAATCCCTAACCTGTTGAACTGCGTGAGGTGAGGAAGGTAACACACACACACACACACACACACACAGAGCTCCAATCTCAAAGAATACATAATCTTCTTTGGAATATGTAACAAAATGCCAAGAGACCTTGAATTGTATTGTAGATGCCCACAGGACAGTGTGTATAAGTTGGAATGCTAAGGAAGGCTTAAATGGACTTAAATAAGTCCAGATGAAATAGTCATTGAATAAAGACAAATGACTATAATTTTGAATGAGGGAGGAACACATGTTAAAGAGAATATTTGCTTAATGGATTTAGAGGATATATACTAGAGTTGGGAGAAAACAAAGGTAAGATACTGGATGTTGGCCTTGATCCTGTTGGAATCTAGAAATTACTATAGGGCCTCAAGGCAGTGATGTAGTTGCTGGTTAGATTAGCAGTATAAAAAGTGGTACAAGGAGGGACTCGGGTTGTGGCTCAGAGGTAGAGTGCTCTAGCGACCTGGGTTCTATTCTCAGCAGCACATAAAGCAAAATAAAGACATGGTGTCCACCTATAACTAACAAATACATTTAAAAAAAAAAAATGGTACAAGGAAGAAACCAGAAACAAGATAGGCATATCCAGAAGGCTAGATAAGAACATTTTAAATTGTGGTCAGGCCACCTGTAAAATGTCAATAAGGAAGACATTTTTTTTTTTCTCATCATAAGTAATGGAATTGACATATAAATCTATAGGGTTAGCTTAAGAAATTTGAGCTGTTTTAACTGCTTTGAAGAAAATTTTTTTCAATGTAAATGTAAATATATAAATTATGAATATAATTTAGTGACTAGCCTGAATAAGTTCAGAAAAGTTAAGTTCTAATGATAATTTCTTATTTTATAGGTGAAACATCCACTTACTGGACTATCTCTGTATCAGGACAGCAATTGGGTTAACAAAGCGTAAGTTGAAAAGTGAACAAGCCAAAAGAAAAGCAGAATCACCCAGTAGCACCTACTGTGTTAGGTAGAACTCCAAACTTCTTAACCTTGCAGCCACCTTAGCTATCCTTAGGAATATTCTATTTAAGAATTTATTTCGAGGCTAGAGGTGTGGCTTGGCAGCAGTCTGTTTTTTTAGGAACCTTTCTAAAGACATGTTCTCTTTTCCTTGGCAGTGAGCAACTTTCCTTTGATAATGCTGCTTTCCCTTTCCTTGCATATTCTGGAATTCCAGCAGTCTCTTTCTGTTTTTGTGAGGTGAGTCTGAAGAGTTCTAAAGCATTATATGTTAGATCTTGTATTAGCTTTGAGACCAACTTTCCTAGAATGCTCAGATTTTTCAGAAGTTGTAATTACTGCATATTCCCTTATTATCAGTTTTAAAATGGACTTGTTGTCTCGGCTTAATGAGCATTTGAGTTTATTACTAAAATTTCTTCAAAGAAGTATGAGTTTTACTAACAAGGCTTAGTTTCTTTAATGATTGAGTAGCCAGGGACTAAATATTGAATAGTGCAGTATGGATATTTGCATTAAGCAGAAAGTTCTGCCAAACAATACTGATTGATTTTATATATATATATGATTGCACAGATATTGCACAAAGTTCTAGATCTTTGTCTAGCAATGCTCATGTCATAAGCAGGGATTTATGGGTAAAAGCAGAAAATTTAAACAGGTGTAATTGTCATTAGGCAGAACTTTTTTTTTTTTTTAATTTTAATATTTATTTTTTTAAGTTTTTCGGCAGACACAACATCTTTGTATGTGGTGCTGAGGATCGAACCTGGGCCACACGCATGCCAGGCGAGCGCACTACCACTTGAGCCACATCCCCAGCCCATAGGCAGAACTTTGAACTGAGCATATTGTACAGAAATAAGATTGGCTTGACACAAGAGCCAGTTAGAAGGCACTGAAGGCCAGGCAGAATAAATAGAATGATGGAGTTGTCTGTACTGAAGTAGCTAGAGTAGCATTAGCATTGTGGGGTCAGATGGGAGTTGTTGATTTGTCATCAAATTGTCAATTCAGTAGAAGCCAGGTCCACAATTGAACTTTTTAATCATTGGGTGTTTTAGCTAGGACTAGGAGGGAAGAAAATATAAAGTTAGGGAGTGATAAAAGATGTGAATTTAGAGATATATGGTTGAAATTTTTTTGACCTTTTGCAAGAGCAGCAACATAAATGGATTGAATTAGCTGGTCATAATATCTACTGGATGTCATGTCTTATGGTTGAAGGACTTTATGATTCCTATTGATCTTAAGAAGATCTTTTAAAACTTCAAATGTAGTTTGAGATGACAAAGCCTAGAAGTTCTGGTTAGGAGGTACAGTCAGAAATGTACAGTCTGAAAGTAATGAATTAAAGTCAAAGGGATTATCGGTAAGAGTTTCACCGAGGACAATAGCAGGGAGTAGAGCGGAGGCATAAGAAATAGTTACTAAAGTTGTATAAGAAGCATCAAACATTTTGTTAGAAAGGTAACATGTATGAATGGACCAAGTGCTGCATGATTAGGAAGAAGGTAAATTTTAATCCAAGAATAACACTTTTTATAGTGCAATTCATGTATGCTTTTTCTCTTTCCCCATCAATATGGGCCAAGCTTCCCAAAGAGAACAAAGTATATAGCTTCAAGGAATTTGGTGTGAAATCTGTTCAGAGAATGTAATATGATAAAACATGAATTCTATAGGACCTGGATGGAAGAAATTAGTCATTATAGGAGAAGGATAGATTCAGAGGAAGTAGCAAGAATGTCATCTTCTTATAGAAGCAGATATGAGATAAAAGTGGGTGGGAATATATTAAAAATGAAGAATTGTGAGCTGGAGTTGTGGTTCAGCGGTAGAATGCTTGCCAGCATCACATAAAAATAAAGGCATTGTGTACAACTAAAAGAAATATTTTTTTAAAAATGAAGAATTGCAGTAACTGTTACCTTGATGGTGGAGCTAGAATGTGAGGCCCCAACTCTTATAACCCCCGTGAGTACAGTAGCCTTCCTTTGTTTTCCAGAATGGGGATTATCCTTATTTGAATACTAATATGGATACCTATGATGTACTGATTAAAGAAGTCCCTCAGTTGGACAAAATGATGCGAACAGCTGCAGAAGTGGCTGGTCAGTTCATGATTAAACTTACCCATGACATTGAGTTGAACCTGGACTATGAGATGTACAACAACAAACTATTTTCATTTGTGAGAGATCTGAACCAGTACCGAGCAGATATAAAGGTAAACACTAATTAAAATTTATTTAAAAATAAATTTTATTAAAATTTAAGTTAATTTTTTAACTGATACCTAAAAGCATAAAATGTGTATTTATGGAGTACCATGTGAAGTTTTGATATACTGTATAATCTTTAAAATCAGGGTAAACATATCTTCTCAAACATTTTTTTCTGTTTAGGGCTGGGGATCTAGCTCAGTTGGTGGAGTGCTTGCCTCGCATGCACAAGGCCATGGGTTCAATCCCTTTTCAGAACTTTATACTTTTAATACCCACTGATGAGCTTTTACCCATCCCTCCCTCATTCCCTTCTCCCCAGACTGTGGTAACCACCATTCTACTCTCAACTTCTGTGAGATCCACTTTTTGATTATCCACATATGAATGAATGAGATCATGTAGTACCTTACCTCTCTGAGTCTAGCTTTTCACTTGACAAAATGATCTGTAGTTCTATCCATGTTGTCATAAACGACGGGATTTCATTCTTTTTTTTTTTAATGACTGAATGATATTCTTTTGTCTATGTGTACCAGCCACATTTTCTTTGTTCATTCATTGGTTGATGGACACTTAGGTTGTTTCCATTCCTTGGCTATTATGAATGTGCTACAATAAATATGGGAGTACAGGTATCTCTTTGACACCCTGATTTCATATCCTTTAGGACTCAGGATTTATACTCAGGAGTGGATTTGCTGAATCATATGGTAGCTTTAGTTTTAATTTTTTGAGGAACCTCTATTTTCCAGTAATGGCTATACTAATTCACATTTCCACGAGACTAGGTTCTTATTGCTAAAGTATCCATCAGTTTGAAGTATGATATTCCTGGGGAGCTATATGATTGGCAACCAGAGAGAGAGAGAGAGAGTGTGTGTGTGTGTGTGTGTGTGTGTGTGTGTGTGTACTGGGAATTGAACTTGAACACGAAGAGTGTTTTAAAGTAAATGGAGGTATAAGTTTGCTTTAGTATTCTACTCATTTGAAAAAGGAGGAAGCTTTGGGATATAAATTTAGGAAAGAACACAACACGTACTTCAGAATGTAGAGCTGTGTGGTGTTCTGTTGTGTCTGATCCCAGTCAACCTGTACATAGATAAAACATGAAGATCTCAGTTGTGAATATAGGTTGTATTCCTTTTGGACAATGCTCAAATGGAAAGAGCATACCAGTAGTTATTAATGTGGTGTCCAACTGGTTTTCTGGTATGAGGACCTGATTTAACAGGTTCTTAATTGAAGTAATTCACTGATAACTGAATTTTAATAATTATGGCTTTCTTGAAACTAATTGTAACTGTTCAGAAAATGGGACTCACCAGATAGAAATAATTAGATGTTGAAGTTCATTGAACCAACTTGTGGTTTTCCCCATAGGGAAATTAACTGGAAACAATGTAATACATAGGATTATAATTTTTCTTTAGTAAATTATGTTGAATTTCTTTTTTTTTTTTTTTTTTTTTTTTTTTGGCGAGGGTACTGGGGATTGAACCCAGAGGTGCTTGACCACTGAGCCACATTCCCAGCCTTTTTTTTTTTTTTTTTTTAATTTTAATATTTATTTTTTAGTTCTTGGCAGACACAACATCTTTGTTCGTATGTGGTGCTGAGGATCAAACCCGGGCCGCACGCATGCCAGGCGAGCGCACTACCGCTTGAGCCACATCCCCGGCCCATGTTGAATTTCTTAATGAGGATGGTTTTCTTATGAGATTAAGAATAGATAATTGTACTAGCTGCTGGGTTAAAAAAAATGAATGTATTACTGTGTTCATAGAGCCTCTGGTACAAGATGCTTCTAGTTTTGAGTCCCAAGTTTCCCTGTCAAGTCATTCCTTTTCTCGTCTGCTGGACATGGTGGCATGCACTTGTAATCTTAGCTCAGCTTGGGAGGCTAAGCAGGAGGATTGCAGGTTCAAAGCCAGCCTTAGTAATTTAGTGAGGCCCTAAGCAACTTTTAACAAAGCCATGTCTCAATAAATAAATAAATAAATAAAACTACTCCTCAGTTGCCACATCTACATTATTAAAATGATACGTAAAATCATACTGAGGAAACACAACTTCTAATAGTGAATTTAATGTCTTTCCTTAACAGGAGATGGGCCTGAGTCTACAATGGCTGTATTCTGCTCGTGGAGACTATTTCCGTGCTACTTCCAGACTGACAACAGATTTCCATAATGCTGAGAAAACAAACAGATTTGTCATGAGGGAAATCAATGACCGTATCATGAAAGTAAGTAAACTTCTTAGTAATAGTACACTCCTGTAATTCCAGGTACTTACTGGGGAAGCTGAGGATCACAAACCCAAGTTAAAAATGGCTGGGGATATAACTCAGTGGTAGAGCTTACCACTGGGTTAAATCCCTAGTATCAAAACAAAAAAGGAGGAACTAGATGTGTAATTTTTAAATTTTTAATTTATTTTTGGGACTAGTGATCAAATCCAGGGGTGCTCAACCACTGAGCTGCATTCCTAGCCATTTTTATTTTATTTTTTTTTTTAATTGAAAATTGGCTGATGCCTTTTTTAAATTTTTAGTTTTTTATTTTTTATTTTTTATTTTTTTTATTTTTTAGTTTTTTATGTGTTGCTGAGGATCGAACCCGGGTCCCGCCTGTGCTAGGCGAGCGCTCTACCACTGAGCCACAATCCCAGCCCCCCCCCCCCCCCAGCCATTTTTAAAATTTTTGTTTTGAGACACTCTCACTCAGTTGCTGAGGTTGACCTCAAACTTTTCGATCCTCCTGCCTAGGCTTCCCATGTCACTGGGATTACAGGCATATGCCATGATGACCAATGAAGTGTGTAAAATTTTACTTGTTAAATTTACATTTGTAAAAAGTAGAGTAAATCTGGGAACCTAGAGTCCTTAGCTTATTTAGAATTGAAGGCAGATTTTAACTCTTAGCAAATCTAAAATCAACATATATAACCCAGCAATACAAGAAATATTTGGCTTTGAGGGTTTTTTTTTTTTTTTTTAAAGACCTCTTTTTTGAGGGGTCATGGGTACCAGGGATTGAACCCAGAGGCATTCATCACTGACCGTATCCTCAGCCCTTTTTTATATTTTATTAGAGCAACTCCCTGAGTTGCTTAGGCCTCAGCCTCCCCAAGTGGCTGAATCACAGACATCATGTCCCGTCCCCTCTTTTTAGTACTTTATAAACACTTTGGGGGCTGCAGGTTTAGTTCAGTTGTAGAGTTAGAATGCTTAGCATGCACCAGGCTGTGAGTTTATCCCTAGGATCCGAAAAAACAGATCAATTGTTGCCTAAGTCAGACCGTAACTGTTTTATCCTAGTCTGCTTGGAAGGAACAGAGGATATCTGCTTGTACCCCAAAATCTCAATATAGTTAGTTCACTTTAACAGAGGAATGGACAGTTTGCTTCAGAATTTTAACTTTAGAAGGTTAGTGGCTTGGATTTCAAAGTTCTCAAAATCAGGACAGTCTAACATTTGAAGTGGGAGAACAATAGTTCTCAACAATAGTGTTCTCTCTCTGCAGTCATAGCACTGTATAAGTTGCCCTGTTTTATTTTCATAGGTGGAGTATCACTTTCTTTCACCCTATGTATCTCCAAGAGATTCTCCTTTCCGGCACATCTTCTGGGGCTCTGGCTCTCATACGGTATCAGCTTTACTAGAGAACTTGAAATTACGTCAGAAAAATAATGGTGCTTTTAATGAAACTCTGTTTAGAAACCAGTTGGCTCTAACTACTTGGACTATTCAAGGAGTAGCAAATGCTCTATCTGGTGATGTTTGGAATATTGACAATGAGTTTTAAACATGATACCCTTAACTTACGTAAGAACATCAGGGTAGTTTGGTTTCTAGACTTGTGCTGGTTATGCTAAATTTTCAAGTAAGACTACAAAACCTAATGTTAAAATTCTACCCAGTCATCTCGATGCTACTAGATGTCTTTAGGTGGCAGCTTTTAATACAGGGTAGGAACCTGCATTTCAAGTTAAAGTGAGTAACCACCAAAAAAGTTCATGACAGAGTATTTTCTCTGATTATCTTTAGAATGTTAAGTGCTTTGTAAAGATAACTGCCTCTTTGCATTCTAATTAGGAAAATGTCAGAACCAGTTGCATGAACTGTTGTTCTAAATCCCAAGGACAGGAGCTGACCTGAGCTGGTGTCTTTTCTTTATTCCCCCCCCACCACCCCACCCCTCTGTACTGGGGGTTGAACCCAGCTGTGGTCCACTGAGGAACCTTTTTTTTATTTTGCAACAGGATCTCAAAGTTGCCATGGCTGGCCTCAAATTTGCCATCCTCCTGCCTCAGCTTCCCAAGTTGCTGGGAGTATAGGCATGCACCACTGTACCCAGCTGAGCTGGTATCTTTTGAAGTGGAAGAAAGAAGGTAATTTCTAGTGAAGGCTGGAAATGGTATCTTGGTGTGATCCTTCACTTTCATTTGATGCTAAGAGATACCAGATTATAGGATCATATTCTCCAAATGAGATATGCCCTTCCATAAGGATTTAGTTGGTTTCTGCATCCCTGAACAAAACAGTTGACTTTCAGAAGACTTGTTTTCCCACTAATGAAATCTGAAATAGGGATCCTTTAGTTGGATAGAATGAGGTTCAACTGTTTATTTCAGGAGTAAGGCCTTAATGTGTTAATATTGTTTAAGAAAAGAGAAGACCAGAAGCCAAAGACTTATAGTACATTTTCTTTTCATCTGACCTCTGCCCCCTGCCCCATAGCCTTTGTTTCCTTCTTTGTTATTTTTGTTTCTTCCAAAGTATTCTGAAAGAGAATCAGTTTTAGGCATTTAATTTCAGACTCAGTTTGTCAGACTTTTAAAAGAACACACCGCCAATTTTTTGGTCAAAGTGTTAATCTTTTGGGAAAGCTTTCTATCGTTTTGGCACTGAGATATTTATTGTTTATTTATCAGTGACAGAGTTCACTATAAATGGTGTTTTTTTTTTATAGAAGATAATTATCGGAAGCAGTGCCTTCCATAATTATGACAGTTATACTGTCGTTTTTTTTTAATAAAAGCAGCATCTGCTAATAAAACCCAACAGATACTGGAAGTTTTGCACTCATGGTCAATACTTGAGGGTGTTAGAAAATAGCAGCAAGCCAAATAAAATTATGATGCTAAGTATTGGAAAAAGATTAAATTTAATTAGGGGTTGCTAATCAAGACTTTTATTTAGCTTACCAGATAAAAATGATATTTCTGCTAAATGCAGTGAATTGTGACCAATTTATAAATAAATGTTATTTAAAGGCTGTGGTAGTATTCATAGATACAAAATTTTACAGCTCAATTTATGAAGGGTGTAATTTAAATTCCAATTTTGCAAAATTTCCAGTACCTTTATCACAAACCTAACTCACATTATCGGGAGCAGTGTCTTCCATAATGTATAAAGAACAAGGTAGTTTTTGCCTACCACAGTGTCTATATCGGAGACAGTGATCTCCATATGTTACACTAAGGGTGTACATAATTATCGGGAACAGTGTTTCCCATAATTTTCTTCATGCAATGACATCTTCAAAGCTTGAAGATAGTTAGTATCTAACATATATTCCCAATTCCCTATAACTCTTAGTTTAGTTGCAGAAACATTTTGTGGTCATTAAGCATTTGGTGGTAAATTGAACTGCTGTGAAATAAAATTATTACTTCAAGAACATTTTTTAATTTAATATGGGTGTTTTTTAATCTTTGTGGTTTCTCCAGGTCTTCTGTTTAGTGGGGTAGTAGCATACATTTATAATGTTTGCTGTTGACAAATGAATATAACTTTAGCCCCTGATTTGCATGTTATATCCTATAAACTTAATTCAAGCAAGTTTGAGTTCAGAATTGATCTTATGGCTTAAAGCTAGGGGATCATAGATTTGGGGTTGGGAGGAGTCAAGGATGTGGTGAGGCAAAGCTTGCAAAAAGAATCTTTTTGATCATGTCTACATACCCATTAGTATGGTGGGTTATAAATTATCTAGATATGAACAAGTAAGTTTGAGATTGCATGAGTAAAAAGTCTATTTTCTAGTTAGCCATCATTATAAACCTGAAAATCAAATGTGTCATAAGATAGTTCAAAACTGTCACCTGAGAAAAAGTCCATAGGGTCTTTTAAGGTTCTTAAACTTAGTGTCACTTACCAAATTATGGTAGACCTAGATTATTTTACAGTTGAACTGTTTCGCTACTCACGGTATCTTTAATCTTCACAGTGTTTTATCTGGGACATTTAGTGTAGCTAAATGAAAGGTCATAGCTGGGATGCCTAGTTTGGGTATTGTGCATTAATACTTTAATGAAAGCTCAGTGACTTCAAGGCATAATATGGATAAAGGGCATACATTTTACCACAGTAAGTCTCTTCAAATAAACTAACCCTTTTCTATGATTAGGGTTAAGTTCTTTCTAAACAGGCCAGCAAATGGTAAGAGGTTCAACATCCCTGATTGAAATGTGTGTCTGACTAGTGACAATAGCAGCCTGATGGTCTTAGGGTTTTTTGTTTTTTTTTCCTGCTTAAATATATGTGCATTAGAAAGGTAAAGGGTAAATTGAGTGAGCTCTGTCATGATCCACTCACTATTCTAGAACTTGCATGACCTTTTCTGTGTTTGCTCTTTGAATGTTCTTGAAATTTTAGACGTGTCAGCCTACTGCTCAGCTTTGTAAACAAATGACATGCCCTTATATTATATACAAATTGGTATGTGCAACAATGTGGAGATTTATCTGATTTAATAAAATGCTTGAACACTGAACTGTCACTTTTTTTGTAAATATTTTTTTAGTTGTAAATATTGTTTTTATGTGGTGCTGAGGATCGAACCCAGTTTCTCATGAATGAGAGGTAAGTGCTCTACCACTTAGCTACAACATTTTTAAAAGTTTATTTACTTTTAAAGAACACTTTGTTTTGCAATAATATTGAGCAGAAAGTACAGAGTTTGCATATATCCCCTAGTCTTGGCCACTGGCACATCCTTCCCCACTAACATCTCACACTGGAGTGGTACATTTCTTAGAATTGATGAATCTACATAGACACATCATTATCACCCCAAGTCCACAATTTATATCAGGTTCTATCTCAGTGTTGGACATTCTGTAATTGCCTTCCTTGCCCTTAGAGTATCTTAAATCCCACAGCTTTTCTAGGCATCCAGTTACAAAAATCTAACCCAGGACCTTAGGAATGCTAGGCAATTGCTCTTCTATTTAAGTCCCCAGTCCTTTATTTCCTAGGCTGGCCTTTAACTTGAGATCCTTCTTCCTCAGCCTTCTGAGTACCTGGAATTAATAGGTGTGTGCCCCCAAGCCCAGCTTATTTTATAGGTTTTCTTTCTTTTTTTTTTTTTTTGGTATGAGCGATTGAACCCAGGGGCACCTCTGAGCCACATCCCAGCCCTTTTTATTTAGAGACAGGGTCTCAACTGAGTTGCTAAGGGCCTCACTGATTTGCTGAGCCTGCCTTTGACCTTGTGATCCTCCTGCCTCAGCCTCCTGAGTCTCTGGTATTACAGATGGGTGCTAGACTTATAATTATGTTTTAAAATCTGTTACAATAATAAACCTTGAGTCTTTTGTCCATGATGTTACTGGAGCTTTTTTTTTTTTTTTTTTTTTTTTGAGGGGGGGTTACTCTTGTTATTTATCTAGCTCTCTCTAGCTACATAGATGCAGAGAAAGAAAGAAAGGGCAAAAAGCTCTTGCCCTGGAGTGTGGCTCAGTGATTGGATGCAAGTGCCATCTGAGAAAAGGTTGATGAACTTCAGGCAAATTATAGCTACATGAAAAAAAATACCATAAGCCAAATCACAAGGTAATTGACAAACTGAAATACTCTCAAAGGGCTGGGGGTGTGGCTCAGTGACAGAATGCTTGCCTAGTATGCACAAGGTTTGATCCCCAGCTAACATCAAGATCATGGACAGCTCAGCTTGTGTTTGACACTCACATGTGCTACTAGAATTCAAGAAAACATTGTGTGCATGCTTGTCCCTGTATGTGTTAGAAATTAACAGGAAGCCTACTGGTCTTCCCCATTCTTGGGCCACCACTTTGTTCCAGCTTTCCTTCACATCCAGCTGGTCCCCTAACTAACCTCTTAAGATACTGTTTCATCACCTTTAACCAAGCAAATTAGAGACTGGGCCATGTACAATCTCTGAACCTTCAGGATTCAATAAAATATTTTGGTTTTTTCTAATGGCATTGGCAAGCTGTGTATGTATTAGGGAATTGAGTCAGAAAGGGAGAGTAGGAGCCCTGGATTTGTATCTTGGGCCATAGGGATTCTAGTTCAAGTTTAGTCACTGCTCTCTCTCTCTCTTTTTTTTTTCTTTCTTTCTTTTTCTTCTTCTTTTTTTTTTTTTTTTGGTACCAGGGATTGAACTCAGGAGCATTCAACCACTGAGCCACATCCCCAGCTCTATTTTGTATTTTATTGGTAGACAGGGTCTCACTGAATTGCTTAGTGCTTCACCATTGCTGAGGCTGGCTTTGAACTCACAATCTTCCTGTCTCAACCTCCCAAGCTGCTAGGATTACAGGTGTGTACCACCGCGCCCAGCATCAGTCACTGCTCTTAAATTGCTGGGTGTCCCTGAGTATCCTGCTATAGCTCTAAGAACCTGAATTTCTTCACTGCTACATTAAGGCCTGATGTTCACTAAGATCGTCCAACTATAATATAGAATCCCTCTCTCACTGAGAATATATGTTTCCTCCTTCAAACAGATTCAGTCTGTCCTTTTAGGGTACCTTTATGATCCTTTCTTTGCATTCCAATAACACAAGAGCTACTGGTGAGACTGTGTGTGTGTGTGTGTGTGTGTGTATATATACACACACACACACACACATATAGTTTTTTTTTTTTTTTTGGATACTGGAGATTGAACCCAGGAACCCTTAACCACCAAGCCACATCCCAGCCCTTTTTAAAATTTTATTAGAGACAGGGTCTCACTGAGTTGCTTAGGGCCTCACTAAGTTGCTAAGACTGGATTTGAACTTATGATCCTCCTGCTTTAGCCCCCTGAGCCACTGGGATTACAGGCACCCAGCTTGGTGAGACCATATTAATCTGTGTTTACCTTGCAGGCATTCTTCAGAAACTTGTGCAGGTATCCTATGTTTCTCCAGCCAGTGTTCCTCTTGGTCTAATCACCTAATTACCCTCTTTGAGGCTGTTGATACTGAGACATTTGGACAGCTAAAATTATGTTCTAGGAACTTGCCTTTTTATTAGGAATAAGCCCATTGCAGAAGTCAAATGGTCATGGGGTTGGGGATTTAGCTCAGAGGCAGAGTGCTTGCCTAGCATGCACAGGGCCCTGAGTTCGGGCCTCAGCCCTGGGTGGGGGGAAAAAAGAAGTTAGATGGTCACATCCTCACTGATAAGGACTTATATCTGCTCTTACACCTGCTTCCCTGATTTCTGACATACTGATTGCCTTGTCTTCTGGAAAAAGATTTCCTTCTAACCCACAGTCCTATCTTGATCTCTATTTTTGGCTTAGCCTTCAGGACCAGTTTCCCCCTTTTTTTCCCCATGATGAATCAATCCCTGTGGGACTGCTGTTATTTTCAGAACACCAGGGGGCAATTAGGGAGCAATTATAATTCTTGAGTAAGGGAGTGACATGATGAAGTTGATGTTTTAGGAAGATTAATGGAGACTGAAATCAGCAAGGCCATCTAAAGAACACTTATAGTAATAACACCATTGGAGGGTAAATATTATAGCATTATTTTGTCTAATCCTTACAATCTCCCAGCGAAGGGATCACATCTGAGAAATAGGCTGCTGATGGAAGGATCTATTCCAGCTTATATATATGTCAATTCATGGTTAGGTGTCTGGCATTTCAAAGGTGCTTGATTACCATTTGAGTGAGAACTTGAATGCAAAGCTAGGACTTGGATTCAAGTGTGGTAGCTGAGAGGAGGTGAGGCAGAAGAATGGAAGCCTGAGTATTTGGAACTTGTGTTCAGTGCTGAAAGAGGAGATGGATGAAACAGGCTGCCAAGAACCTGAGTGTGATTTCAGGGCAAACGAGAGAGCCAGGGAAATAGGGGAGAGATGGCTGGATTCGAGTTTGACTTCTGTTGCTATGTCCTTGGACTCGTGTGACCACATGGAACTATCTGGTAGTTAACTGAATGTTAGCATGCAGGAGGGCATGTATCAAATCTTGAGTATCTACCCACCAGTTTGTTTTGGTTACCAATCTTAACTCTAGGTGTCCACCAGAGGGCATCAGAACCCAGGACTCAGTGGTGCTTCATTTGAGAATAGCCCACAGTGACCTCAGGGTTTTGTAATCTCTTACTCTAGCTAGGCTTTTGTGGGAGTGGCTGGCAGCAAGCAGCTCCTCCTGATGCCCTAGTAAGGTTTTAGAAACTGAATTGCCTGGGGGCATGTGAGCTGGTCCCTTCAGCAGCTCCAGGGAGCTGTGACCTGGGCAATAGGGTGAAGGCACAGTTTGTTCTTGGTCCTAGGAGAACATGGCCACGGTTGGCAGATACCCCTCACCTAAGGATTCTTTGAGAAATCCCTCCTTTCACCTATACTAAGAGGTTAATGTCCCCTTCTTGACTCTGAAATCCTTTGCCTTTGTTAAATCACTTCTGATCCCACAATTTACTTCCCTTGGCCTGAGCTCAGGCACTTTCTAGGTACCAAAGGTGTATTAGGAAACAGAGGGGCTGGGGACGTGGCTCAAGCGGCAGCGCGCTCGCCTGGCGTGCGTGCGGCCCAGGATCGATCCTCAGCACCACATATAAACAAAGATGTTGTGTCCGCCGAGAACTAAAAAAATAAATAAATATTAAAATTCTCTCTCTCGCTCTCCCTCTCTCTCACTCTCTCTTTAAAAAAAAAAAGTTAAATGGAAATAGTAACTAGAAGGAGTTATCTTACTGGATGGCTATTACTAAGTAATGCTTATAAAAAAAAATGGGCTGGGATTGTGGCTTAGCGGTAGAGCGCTCGCCTAGCACGGGCGGGGACCCAGGTTCGATCCTCAGCACCACAAAAATAAAGGCATTGTGTTGTGTCAATCTACACCTAAAAAATAAGTTTAAAAAAACAAAAAGGAAACAGACAAATACATCTGGCCTTTCCTCCTCCCTGCCCAAGTTTACCTTTCAGCCAAGCACTGTCTTTTTCTGGTTGCACCTTGGAATCACTTGGGAAGGTTTTAAAAGCCATAGGTACTGCTTAGCACAGTGTTGAACACTTATTATCCCAGAAGCTCCAGAAGCTGAGGCAAGAGGATCACAAATTCAAAGCCAGCCTCAGTATCTGGGGAGACCCTGTCCTTAAATAAAATACAAAAAAAGGGGCTGGGGATGTGGCTCAGTGGTTAAGCGCCCCTGGGTTCAATCTCCAGTACAAAAAAAAATAAAAAAGCAAGCTTCAGTAGAGTGTTTTTTTTTTTAAAGTTTTTTTTGTGTGTAATTATGTGCAACACTATTGAGAATCTTTGAGTCTAAGACCTTGCTACTCAAATGCGACCATGGACCAGCGCCTGAGCTGAAAGCTTGATAAAAATGCCAGACTTCTGCATCCCCCTCCCAAACTGATGAATCAGGATCTGCATTTTGACAAGATCTGCAGTGGATTTAGAAGCACTGACCTCATTAGTATATTGTTCACTCATGTTCACCTCCCCAATCTAATCAGCTTGTACAACTTTTTTAAGCTGTAGGAGTGCCTTTCTGAATTTTTTCACTAAGACCTACAGAAATAAAT